GTACAAAACTAAGCAACCTTATAATTTTTGCATTCAGTACTCCCTATGATGATGTGCGTTGATCGCCCAATTAAAATGTGCTCAAGTAACGAAGACGTAGTCAAGGGGAAGATAAAAGGATAAACTATTTAAGAAAATAAATTAAAAGCTGAGAAAAATTAGCAATGAAATGGATGCCGGGCCATTTGGGTCCTGCTTGCATCAGACAAATTTTGTAAATACCATGACAGAATAAAATCATAAATGATTAGAACTTGATCTGCAACTGAGAACGACGGACCAGCGGGTCGTGCCTTTGGGTCATATCAAGTCAAGGGTACAAATTGTTTCTTAATCAACTATCCTGCTAAACAGTACTCCTTTCTATATACATCCCTGCTTAACTTTTCACCTGTTCTGATCACTAAAACGTGTAAAAAGATTACTTATTGCCAACTAAACATTACAATCAATCTGGTTAATTAAGAACAAGAAATTACCTAAAGTATCCTCAAGATACTGCCATATAGCAAAATAGTCATCCATAAATCTAACTAACAGGTTTAGTGTCAATCTTACCTTTCCCCTGAAGCGTTCCTCTATTTTTGATAAGTAATTATTCGCTAAAAAGGGAGCCAAGCAAGATTCGATTGCTAGGCCTTGCACCTGTTCATAAACCTTATCATTAAAGGTAAAGTATGTACTACTCATGGATAGATTAAGTAGCTTTAAGGTTAAGCTTTTGCTCAAATTTGCTTCCCAATAATTCCTGGGTGTTCATCTAGGCTGAGTGCTAGTGCCTCAATAGCCATCTGAACTGGCATGTCAGTATTCATTGCTACCCCATCGGAACTCGCCAAAAGATCATCTTTTATAATAATCTGCTGATCTATCAATCTAACAAATTCATAAGATATAAAAAGTGTAATAATGTAATAGTGGCGTGGATTCCACGGCAGTTTATTTTCAGAAGTTCTTTGCCCTTTCTTTGGCAGATTTCACACAGATTTCAGAGAAAAGCGATAATAGCTTCGACCTAAATTGTCTTATCATGACAGTTATGCAGACGATTTAGCCTTCAAAGCAGGCTGGGTTCATTGTTACTATGTCTTAGGAGAGTAATAACAATATGCCAAATTTCCTAGTGCATAAAAAGAATTAAAATCTAACATCTCATGTTGTAAAAAAGGCCTTCATCTTCAACAATATTTTTGAATGAACAGATTTTTTGAGGGGAGAATAACATGGATTTCTCGTCATAACTTTAGCATTTTATTACGGCTTATTTACTGCTAACATCCTTCTTAGTGATTGAACAAGCTGATCAGATTGATGTTTTAGCAACCTGTTTTCCGGAGGGATCCCTCAAACTTAGCATCTGCACAGAGTAACCCTTTGTCGGACCAGTGCCTTAATTTCACTTCAATGCAATAAAAAATGGTGGTTGTTAATGCACTATTTGCTGGTGATGCGAAATAGATTTGAAGAAAATTTTATTGTAAAGCCTAAGTATACTCAGACAAGGCTGGATAATGTATTTACGACCTAAAAAATACCCTCACAGTATGGACAAACTTTGTTTAAATAATAGCCTTGTATTTTACAGCTTTTTGTAAACTAAGGAAAATAATAAAAAAATTTCCTTCCTCGATAGCGAGACAGACTTTATTTTCACAAACAACCAGAAACATTACTCCTTCCATCAAGACGAGCAATTTGAGGCAATAGCCAAAGTACATCTCATTCACACATTTCCTACAATTCTGATCAGATTTGTGTTGTCACTAGCCGCTTAGACGAATGTAAGCTCAAATTGATATATGGTGGGAAAACTGACTGACAAAGAGAGCCTGTATGAAGCGTTTTAACAGGTTTGGACCTTGGATACAAGCGAAGAATGCGTTTAGGGCTGTTGACGAACCGAGATACGTCGCACTTATGCCAAAAGTAGAAGCCTGGTCCTTGAGATCTTGGAAGCTTCTGTCTTGTATATTTGACGTACCAAGGTCCTCGATTTCCACATCCCCCTAATTTAAGCTATTCGTGTGGTCGGGTTAAACTGCGTTCGTTGGCATGCCCACATTCCATCCGTAAAGCGAATAATATGCAGGCTGCCAAGAAATATATTAGTTTAGTATGATCTGCTTACTTCGTCTCTTCTTCATCTGGAATTAGTTTTGGGGTAGTAGTCGATTTCGTCACTGCAATCACCAGCCCTTAGTCGGTGCGTGTGTGTATGTGTTTGTCTAGAGTCAAGTTCTAGAGCTACGATGAAATAATCTGTCTAGCTGATGGGAAGTTAGGGGAAGATAGAGCACCATGCTAGACTCTTGGAGGTAAAATTAAGTTGTAGAGTCAAGCCGGTATCCAAAATTCAGCAAAACATTTTTTTCTACTTGTTTATTTAGCTAATGTGCTTTTTATGCGGCCTCCATGTTAGCGGTGATTGCTAGTCAAGTCGTAAATTTGGACGATTTTCGAATTACACCGTGCGATTTGATGAGCGACTGGAGCAAAACAAGGATAAGCTTATTGTATAGAAAAAGTTTCAGATGCAGAGCAAGATGCAATCTAAGTTATGTGAAGGCATTGTGCATTGTGCCATTTTTTATTAAGTGACTCTTGAAAAAAGTCCAACCTAGGCAAGCGAAGCCTCCTGTCTTAGAACCTTCGTGGTGTAACGGATGACGGAAACCAATTGCAAATAGAAAAAACAGTCTTTCGAGCAAATTCACGCACTAAAAGACTAGAGCCAGTTCAAGTGGACTCACCTAGTGGGTTAATGATTTAGCTGCAAACGACACTACTTATTTTCCGTGTAAGTAGTCTGCGAAGTGGTAATTGCATAGATGGCTTCATCGAGGTCGCCCTGACAACACGACCAAGTTGCCCCAAACATCATGGGATGGAGGTAAAATGCAAGGTGAATCAGATCTCTCCATATTTGAAAGGCAACTCAATCAGACTTCTGTCACCTCGTGTGATGAGAGACTAGCGAACAAATGGCTGAGGTAAACCGGTTTCCATTTATGCATATAGTGAATATAAATTATTGTGTTCGAACCCTTCGCTAAGATGGCTCAAACGGAGGCAGACGGCCTCGAAACACCAGTTAATTCAGCAACCTTAGTCAGGATAAAGATATAAGGGTCAAGATGTAGAAGTGGGTTGAACTCGTTGTCGCAACTTGGTCTTGTTGTCAGGGGGACTTAGTAGAACGCACCTAGTCCGAAGCCGTCTGCCATAGTAGTTGTCATGATTTCCAGTATCAGACAGTGGACTTGGTACATTCTCAAAAGTTTCGCTGGCATCGTAGCCAGCATCATCAGCGAGTTTTGCTATTCTCCGTACCAAGCTACGAACTCTTCAAAGTCAACAAGACCAAATTTCGACAACGAGGTCAATCCACTCCTTAGTCAGGATGGCTTCAGAGGAGGAAGCCTATATTGCTCAGGTATCCTTGAGGCTGACGTGAACCTCGAGCAGGACTCCAGGATCCAAGGATCCGCAGTAAAACCGACTCTCGCATGCTGCAAGAATGACAGACTATAGCTGCCCCTTTTAATCTCTTATAGCCGAGGTGGAGATCATTACAAAAATAGCCTTAACAAAATCACTTGGAGTATGTTCCACGCCCAGGCCAAAGGGCCTTCCGAATGGTATCTGTTTGCAGAATCTCTTTTTGTTTAAGTTCACCTTGACCTGGAGATGAAACACACCATAAGCATCGATTGATTACATTGCCTCTGACCTAACTATGCTGCCTCACTCAAGAAATATCCCGATTCTCCCACATAAACTTTCTCATTAGCAGTATGAATGCGCATAAATATCATTTGTGTGCACTTTTTTACATACACTGCCAGAATCTGCTTACAATATTATGCCTTTTCCCATTTGATATTATCACGTCGTCTTATATGAAAGGGTCTCTCTTGGAGATAAGAGGAACATCTTCGGCGCCGCCGCCGCCTTCATATCGAAAGCAGGCGAAAAACATTGTTACCGTAACAGTCCATGCCACGTGGACTGACCGAGAGCTCGGTTGCCATCTGGCCACCGTGAAGGTTTGCCGTGGCAGGGCGACCCCTCGACCGAGGTTATGCCAATTTTTGCGATTCTTCATTTCATCAGCCAGCTTAACTGTCAAGCTGATGTACCGATTTATGCCTATTTTGACAACTTGTTCGGCCTGAGTCACAAGCCCCACGCTCCACTTCCATTCGTTCTACCCCCACCTGGTCCAACCATCACTGAGAGTTGACCCATCTTGACCGCTGCTACCAAAACTACTAACATGCGCCCTATCAACCGGCCAACTGGCCAGCCAAACAACCGACTGGTCGGCTAGTTGCTAGTCCGTCGACCGAACGACCAACTATACGACCTCAGACGGCCCGCCTGCCAACCCGGATTTTGTAGACATTCTGCGATGCCATACGGGCCCTAGTCAGCCGAGAGGAGGGTACATGTGGGTGGGCGAGTGAGAGGGCAGAAGATACCAAAAGGTCCTGTGCTGCTTGGGCCAGTGCCATTCACTTCTGACAACTCATTCGTCTGCACGTTTGTATGCAAATACAGCCGAGAGAAGATAAGCCCCTTACTACACACAGACTGAATGGGAGGCCTACCCATTTTGTCGCCCGGTCCACCAGAGATGGGTAAATAGAAGAGGTAAGCCGGTCCGGACAGGTTGGACTGATTACATCACGCACCGCGGGTTGAATCTGTACCGAGTATGCTTGCGTTGACCCGCAATTCTCGCTTCTTCAAACAGATGCCGAACTCCGACATGGCACGAGCACACACCCAGTTTCCTCGGCCACCCCACAGGCGCACAGAGAGACAGACTTACAAACACACACACGCCTTCTGCTCGTGTGTGTAGGGGCGTGTCTGGATGCACCCATAAGCCATAAGACGAGATTTTTGCCCCACTGACCTGGACGAAAGTGTGAACTACGGGAGACCGTACCGTCTGGCGGTTAAGTCGGAACACTGAAGAGGTGATGAAGATGAGTAAGCCGGACCTTCTCAGAATCAGGAGGGCAGTGGTCTGAGAAAATAGTCATCAAGCCCCACATTTGAGAAAGGATAGCACAATTGTCATCACGGCTGGGCCGATTCGATTTGCTTACTACCCCAGCAGACTTGGTGTCCACGGCTTAAGTCCTGTCGGAGTGTCTGTAAATACGAAGAGGCTATTTTGCAGTCAATTTAAGTTGTGGCCAGATTTTTCACACTGATTTTGATGTGTACGGACGCTAACACACACGCATATACACACACATATTCAAGCAAAAGTACCCGAATTTATACGAAAGAGGATCAACCAAAACATTATATACAAGTTGTTTGACCTTGTTTTCGCAACTTGGTCATATTGATAGGAAGACCGAGAGGAACGCACCTAGTCCGGAGTCCATTGTATGCATAATCATTTCCAGAGTCGGACCGTGGATGTGATACATTCTCAGATGTTTCACCGGCATCATAGTCGGCATCGTCAGTGAGTATCGCCACTCTTAGCACCATGCAACAACTCGTCGGAAGCGACAAGTGAAACCGATCCTTTGACCAAATGTGTGCTAAACAGTCGTCGCGTTGGTATCCCTCCTTCTGTCTTGGGCTATTCATCTATCCGACTTTGGAAATGATTATGCATACAATGAACTTCGGACAAGATGCATTCCTATCGGTCTTCCTACCAATGTGACCATGTTGCAAAAACAAGGTCAAACAATTTCTATACAACAAAAGGAGACTGCGACCACACAAAAGGCCACACCATTTTGGTCTTCATATCTTTGAAAAAATTATTCTATTTTTAACTATGCACGCCTGCATATTTCACTTTTTATTTAGGACAGCAGTGAACCGGATAGTCTTCTTGACTTTGTCCTAATTCGAAGCTTTCCTCAAAAATGACTTGAAGCTGTGCCGAACGAAATATTTGCCCATTTTCATCCGATCGAGGGAGCATGTCTCGCTGATTGTATTTACTAAGAACTGTGTTCACTCTATTTCTCTTGAGCTGATGAAGAACTTGCAGTTGAATCATCCCACATTTATAATAGTCGTACTCATGTTTCCATTGAATTCCACATTGACTTGCCGGCCAAAAGGCTCTGTGAAATTCTATGGAAGCCTGAGGCTTAATCATATGATTGTGAAATAATTCAATTAACATTCCCTCAGCACTTTAAACGAAATAGAATGAAAACAGTACTTCTAGTCAGATAGGCCTAAACATCTCTTTATCACACAAACTTTCACCATAAATAATAGTCTCCACAACAAAGATGATGAAGTGTTGAGACAATATCATAGCGCCAAAACGACATAGTTCTTGATAGATACAAACAATTTATCGATGGCTAAAAAAGTGATTTTTGAAGAATCCCAAAATAGGTTGGTGTTCGGAAGCCGATGCGGGATTGCCTGTAAGCTGTGACTGTAGATTTGTACGAATAAGTCTTAACCATACGAAGCATTGCTGAGCTTTCCTCAGTAAGGTGATGGACATATTGTTCATGGTTGTTGAATTATCGTACATGTGAAATGTATTCAACTCATTTTGTTTAAGGTGATAAGGCAGCTAAAGGTAGTTGAATTTTCCCACAATAATGTGAGTAGACCTTAAATTTACATTAAATTTCACATAGTCTTATTTTCCCGAAAGGTATTCTTAGCCAGAGTTGACTGCATATATCCATATCACACTCCGATATCAGCTTAAAACAAAATATGCTAAATACATAATATATAGATGACCTATTGGTAGTCTGAAAACCCTATTATAAACGATAAATAAGTAATATACTCGATTGTCATAGCAGTCAGTTGCTTCATCGTCAATTCTCTCGCAGAATGTATCATTCGAAAATGCCTGGCATTCCTCGAAATTCTCATCTTACATATGACCCAAGGTCAGAAGTGGCAGTTTGACGTAGTGGCTAACGTTTCGAGATTCTATGCTGCAACAACACAACCCAGTTTCGAGTTCCACGGGTGGTATTGATGAGCCAGTTCAGGATAGGTGTTACTTGCAGTCTATTAGTGTCTGTAGGAGAATTCATTTTGGGAAAGCATGTTGTTAAATTTAGTGGAAACGTAAGGTCTTTTTATATGATTTTAAGAAGAAATAGGTTGAATACATCTCATGTAAACTGTTGCTTAGTTCGAAACCTAATCAGCCCGGACCATATACTGAGGCGGAGTTGCAGATATCATTTAAAAATGTACTGCAGTCTACTCAAAATTGTGGATACCAGGATGATGTAATCGTTATCCCGGTCGCAGTCAACTTTTGCTTTGTAGAGAAATGTGATTTGACCGAGTCCATTGTGAAGACGATCAAAATAAAAGCATCTCATCTATGGTAGTCATACTACTCTTAAGACGTTTTGTATCCATCTTCAGGGAGTCTAACCAATCTTAGCTGCAGGAAATCCGGCGCGATGTCTGGGAATGTACAAATTTTACGCTCCGGGTGTGGAGATTATCGCGACTAGCATGGCAAACGAATGCTGACGATTTGCACTTAGCCGAGTGGTCATAGAAACAGGGTCAAATCGCGAAAACGGGGTCATACCACTGCTAAACAATGTATTTCAGGTGCCCGGGTTTCAAGGCGGAATTGAGAATACCAATTGGACTACGGGCATTTGATCAACAGTTAAGTAACTCAATCTTAGTTGATGAGATGTATTCACCCTATTTCCTTTATGGTAAATACATCTCATTTTACTGATTTACTGGTAGTCTTGAAACTCTGCTTACATACAAAAAATAAATCTTAGTTTGTCTGCTAGACAGGCTTAGTCGCAGGATTGGCATATTCTAATTCCGGGCGGATAATCTGGGAAATAGAGGTAAAGTTACTGCCTAAAGTGCAAACGGATGATCGTGTCGAGAGGACTAGATCACAATCATACGTGTTTATCAGCAGTTTATGATGACGCAAGCCTGTTTTCAAGCGTTTCTTAACCATCTGCAAAATTATACAAGCCCCAACTTACACTCTTTTGAAGCAAGAAGGTGGAGAAGAATCCATCGAATAAAGTCAGGAACAGGATTGAGTCAAACCATTTTTAGAGTTGCTGTTTCACAATGACTGGCTTGGAGAGTGCTTGTAGCTGTATGGTTCCGACTCACAGAAGCTCGGCGAATGTCAATGAGTAAGGCCAATGAGGCGCGCCCAAATGTGAGACCGGAGAAGCGCCTGCCTTAGTCGGCACTGCAGATCTACCGGTTTATGAGCTCTCGAATAAACCTTCATTTCGGTATTGTTGAGCTTAATTTCATTTCGAGTGAAAGTGTTGGGTGAAGAGATTCGAAGCTCGCTTTCACCAGAAGACGACGGAGGATTCCTCTTGACCAGCTGTCGATTGGCTTTACTGGAAGATTCATGCT